GAGAGTCGTAATGGAATCGGATAGCGGCTCGGAATGAGGAATCGGATAGCCGGGTTCGAAGAGGAATCGGTGTCGGTAATGGATAGCGGCTCGGATTGAGGAATCGGATAGCCAGGTTCGAAGAGGAGAGACGGTGCAGTAATGGATAGCGGCTCGGAATGAGGAATCGGATAGCCGGGTTCGAAGAGGAGAGTCGGTGCAGTAATGGATAGCGGCTCGAAGAGGAGAGTGAGGAATCGGAATGAGGAATCGGATAGCCGGGTTCGAAGAGGAGTGTCGCTGCAGTAATGGATAGCGGCTCGGATTGAGGAATCGGATAGCCGGGTTCGAAGAGGAGAGTCGGTGCAGTAATGGATAGCGGCTCGGAATGAGGAATCGGATAGCCGGGTTCGAAGAGGAGAGTCGGTGCAGTAATGGATAGCGGCTCGGAATGAGGAATCGGATAGCCGGGTTCGAAGAGGAGAGTCGGTGCAGTAATGGATAGCGGCTCGGATTGAGGAATCGGATAGCCGGGTTCGAAGAGGAGAGTCGGTGCAGTAATGGATAGCGGCTCGAAATGAGGAATCGACACGGTTCGAAGAGGAGAGTCGGAGGAGAGTGGTGCAGTAATGGATAGCGGCTCGGATTGAGGAATCGATAGCCGGGTTCGAAGAGGAGAGTCGGTGCAGTAATGGATAGCGGCTCGGAATGAGGAATCGGATAGCCGGGTTCGAAGAGGAGTGTCGGTGCAGTAATGGATAGCGGCTCGGAATGAGGAATCGGATAGCCGGGTTCGAAGAGGAGTGTCGGTGCAGGATGGATAGCGGCTCGGATTGAGGAATCGGAGAGCCGGGTTCGAAGAGGAGACACGGTGCAGTAATGGATAGCGGCTCGGATTGAGGAATCGGATAGCCGGGTTCGAGGAGGAGAGTCGGTGCAATAATGGATAGCGGCTGGGATTGAGGAATCGGATAGCCGGGTTCGAAGAGGAGACACGGTGTAGTAATGGATAGCGGCTCGGAATGAGGAATCGGATAGCCGGGTTCGAAGAGAGAGTCGGTGCAGTAATGGATAGCGGCTCGGAATGGAATATAGCCGGGTTCGAGGAGGAGAGTCGGTGCAATAATGGATAGCGGCTGGGATTGAGGAATCGGATAGCCGGGTTCGAAGAGGAGACACGGTGTAGTAATGGATAGCGGCTCGGATTGAGGAATCGGATAGCCGGGTTCGAAGAGGAGACACGGTGTAGTAATGGATAGCGGCTGGGATTGAGGAATCGGATAGCCGGGTTCGAAGAGGAGTGTCGGGCAGTTGGATAGCGGCTCGAATGAGGAATCGGATAGCCGGGTTCGAAGAGGAGAATGGATAGCGGCTCGATTGGTGGACAGTGGGATAGCGGCTCGGATTGAGGAATCGGATAGCCGGGTTCGAAGAGGAGAGTCGGTGCAGTAATGGATAGCGGCTCGGAAATGAGGAATCGGATAGCCGGGTTCGAAGAGGAGAGTCGGTGCAGTAATGGATAGCGGCTCGGAAATGAGGAATCGGATAGCTGGGTTCGAAGAGGAGACACGGTGCAGTAATGGATAGCGGCTCGGATTGAGGAATCGGATAGCCGGGTTCGAAGAGGAGAGTCGGTGCAGTAATGGATAGCGGCTCGGAATGAGGAATCGGATAGCCGGGTTCGAAGAGGAGAGTCGCTGCAGTAATGGATAGCGGCTCGGAAATGAGGAATCGGATAGCCGGGTTCGAAGAGGAGAGTCGGTGCAGTAATGGATAGCGGCTCGGAATGAGGAATCGGATAGCCGGGTTCGAAGAGGAGAGTCGGTGCAGTAATGGATAGCGGCTCGGAATGAGGAATCGGATAGCCGGGTTCGAAGAGGAGAGTCGGTGCAGTAATGGATAGCGGCTCGGAATGAGGAATCGGATAGCCGGGTTCGAAGAGGAGACACGGTGTAGTAATGGATAGCGGCTCGGAATGAGGAATCGATAGCCAGGTTCGAAGAGGAGAGTCGGTGTAGTAATGGATAGCGGCTCGGATTGAGGAATCGGATAGCCGGGTTCGAAGAGGAGTCGAATGGATAGCCATTACATTCGGATAGCGGGTTCGAAGAGGGAGAGTCGGGAAATGTATGGAATCCTCTTTCCCCCAGCTATGGGTAAATAGCAGAATAGACAGTGGCAGACGACAATGACGGCCTTGGATGACAACTGGTCTAAGAGGAGAGAGTCAGAAATGGAAGCGGCTGGATATCTACCTGCCTCGTCAGAATGGATATATCGAAAATCGATACATGATCGCCTAAGCGTGTTTCAATGGATATGGCACATAACTGAGTCCTCCTTTTACTTGGTTCGAAGAGGAGAGTGAAAAGAAAGAAATCAGTTTTTTATCTGGGATTGGAATGAGGAATCGGATAGTGTATTAGCGTGAAAGCGAACATCACTGTCTAGACTCAAATTCGAACACTGTTCGCTAATCCCACCCCCGTGTCGATAACTACTGCACTAACTATACAGCCTCTCGGCGTATGCATATTTATTAACTGTCAAATCTGAGTCAAATAACGGTGGTTATTTAATTATGTCTCCAAAGATTATGGATAGCGGGTTTTATAATAAATCGACTATCGTTTCGAAGATGAGAGTCCTTATTAAATAGGGCTCGAATGAGGAATCTGAGTTCAAGACAATGTTGGCTATTTATTTCTGGCACATATTTAAACAGTCGTTAATGACCATGTTGATATGGCCAAGAATTTCCAGAAAAGCGGCCGGAATGTGTATGTAAACTAAAGGATTTACATATATATATATATATATATATATATATATATATTTGGCAAACATTATAATCGAAGTTAAAAGGAGAAATGGCTATTGCAAAAAGATTAAGGAATCGGACGAAAAAAAATTAACCCTTTGAGGAATGTGACCAAGAGGACAACTGGTTGAACAGCGGTAGAGAAAAAGCTGGGTTGACTTATTTAGCGGTCACCAGGAATTAACGGATAGCCGGGTTAAACACTTGGATAGCGGCAATTTTTGATCTACCGCGAAACATTAAATGAGGAATTATTTTCGATTTTTGAAGAGGAGTCGTCAGGCAGAAGGGTTGTTTGAGGGACCCATCCCCAAAGAGTTAATCAAAAATCTCAACATATTTTTTAAATAAAGCATCTTTGTCTTACGGATGCCATACTGGTCTTAATGGATAGAACTGGAAAGGAGGAATCGGATAGCCGGGTTCAAAAAGTAGTTTACCTGGTTAAAAAAAAACGGATACAGGTTCAATTTCGCCAGGGATACGGCTCGGAAAAAAGAATTTCGTTAGTAGGCAGATTGGATAGCGGCTCGGAATGAGGAACCTATTCACTGTTTAAGAAGATAAACATTAGGAATAACAACTCAAACAGGTGAACCCGATAAAAATAACATTTATAGTCGCTAGATGTCATGTCGGATAAAAAATTCGGGTAAGTTATAGTGTAAGCCGCGCGCTCAAATTCTAGTGAAAATTTCCATTTTCGTATGAATTTACACTCTAATTTTGAAAGTATCAGCAAAAGTTTGCGAAGATCTACCGTTTTGGAGTTATTGACAATAAAACTTCGGACTCATTCGCGTCCATTCACGTCGGTTCCGTCCGCCATTACTAGCGTTGTTTACATACGCTTGCCTCGAGCAATTATGCGCGGAAGATTACTTAGTTAACGGCCTTTTTACTGACCTTCTTACTCGTCTCAGTTTCTGCGCAAGACCAAAAGAAGTCTTTTTAGACACTTTTCAAAGTGAAGCTTTTATTGAATTTTCTTTTGTTAAATTTGTTTAAGTTATTTGAAAAGCAATGACAAGTGTTTTTATAGTGAAGCTGTAATAATAATGGATTCTTGGTTAAATAATAATAAAATGAATAATAAAACAAATTTGAACCTTAAATTTGTTCTTCTTATTATTTTATTTCTAGCATGTTTTTTATTATGTAAATAATCATGCTCTTTTTAAATTTAGCACAAAGATTGCACATTGCGTGCACATTAATCAAGAAAAGTGAAGTTTCGGCGGATGACTACTCGAGTCTAATGTATGTTAATAACGCCAATAATGGCTGCCGTGCAAAAGCCGCGATGCCAATGAGTCCGAACCTTTATTGCCGATAACTCTAAAACGGTAGATTTCCGCAAACTTTTACTGTTATTTTCGAATTAAGCATGTAAATTTACACCTAAACGGAACTTTTAAGGGTCTTACACTGTAAATTACCCAAAAATTCCTCCCAAAAATTACTGTTGTTTACGTTTCGAGCAAAAAACCTTTAGCTGGCAGATACAGATTCGTAAAAATCCCAACTAGAAAGTGTTTTCCTTAAATAGGTTATTCAAGCATTTGTGGTCTATGTGGTTGAACTGGTAGAGGCAAAACACGTGGGGTTTAGGTTCAATTTCTGTTGGCAGATATTTGTTCTATATTAGGACCTCTCAATTTAAGCCAGTGGTTATTAATTTTACCTTTTAATAAAAAAAAAAAAAAAAAACGAAAAAAAAAAAAAAACAAAACAAAAAATAACAGGGATACCAATTCAAAGACGTGTACACACTGAAAATAACATTTATACTGATCCTAAATAAATTTATAACATCTTGAGGTTTCTATGGTTGTATTCCAGTATAAAAGAACGATTCCGAGTTTGAATAGAAACTTCAGTATTTCGATATCTTCAAACCTTGACCAAACAAAAATTATTACATGAATTGAAACAATAGATTATGCAGATCATAAGGAAAAATCACGTCAAGGTTCCGTTATATTGCCTATTGCGTCGAAAGAATCAGTTTTATTTTTAACCGTATGGGCGTTTTCATACAGCAAATTAATTTGTTCATGTATTATTTACATTCAGGCAAAGTGGATATTGAAAAGTCAACAACACGATCCAAATATTCAAATCTAACAAAAAGACCAAATATAATTTTTTTCAAAGTGAAGACTTTTCATTTGGGTTTATTTTGAACTTTACTGCTTACCACGTTTTTGAAAAGAATAGATACAAGTAGATAGATAGATAATAGATAGATAATAGATACGAATTTATTGAGATAAGTAAAAATGAACATGATAGATATGAATAGACGACTTAAATTTGTTAACATTAGATTTTGATGGTGAATAGACTTAGATTAGATGGTAGATGTTGTTTTTAAAAGGCTAGTGTGAAAGATTGATAGATAGATGGTCGATAGATAATCAGATAAATAGTTATAAACAGACTTAAATATGAATGTAAATAACGCCATAAAACATTTAAAGGGCTGCGATAGAAAGATATTATGAGTTTTTGCCGATAACATAAATAGATGCAAACTTTAATGTTATTTATCGAATTAGATGGATAGATAGATATAAACGGAACTTTTAAGGGTCTTACACTGTAAATTACCCAATGGAAAATTATGGATGTTTGAATAAAAAACCTAGATGGCAGATACAGATACGTAAAAATCCCATAGATAGATGGATTTCTTAAATAGGTTATTAAATTTGAACATGATGAGGTTGAACTAAGGCAAAGATAATGAATGAATTTGTTCACTGAGATGGATAGATATTTGTTCTTTATTTACCTTCAATTTAATAGATGGTTATTAATTTTACCTTTAATAAAAAGATAAGATGGAAAACGAAAAAAAACTTAAATAAACAATAGACTGGGATACTAATTTAAAGGCTGCGATAGATAGAAAATAATATTTATACTGATAGATAAATAAATTTAAAAAAGATCTGAAATTTTTTTGGATGTGGATGGATGGATGAATGTAAGAAAATCACTGAGATAGATGGATGATATTTAGATATCTGAATAAAAATACCTGACCAAACATAATTAGATATATGAATTGATGGATAGATATGGTTATACATCATAAGGATAAATGAGATGGATGGATGGATAATTGCCTATTGCGTCGTATTTGAACATAGATATGGGCGTTTACACACTGAATAGATAATAGATGGATCATGGATTATTTACGTTCAGGCAAAGGATGGATATTGATAAATGGATGGATGGATGGATAGATCCAAATATTCAAACACTGGGATGAAATGGATATATAGATTTGGATGGATGGATGGATGGGTATAATGGACTTGCTACTGCTCATGGATGGATGGATGGATAGATAGATGTGAGATAGATAGATAGGATGGATAGATGGATAGATAGATACGAATTTATTGGAGATAATGGATGGATGGATGGATAGATGGATGGAATGAATTCAGATAGGCATAGATAGATAGATATGAATAGATAGATAGATAGATAGATAGATAGATTATTTATTCAAAGATAGATAGATAGATAGATAGATAGATGATAGATAGATAGATATAGATATAAACAGAGATAAATAGATAGATGAATAGATAGATAGATAATTTGAAATAGATAGATAGATAGATAGATAGATAGATAATAGATAGATAAATAGATAGATAGATACTGATATAAAAGATGAAATAGATAGATAGATAGATAGATAGATAGATAGATAGATAGATAGATAGATATACTCTAGTGTTATGAGCATATCTCCGTTCAATGTTCGTTTCTGTGCAATAGAAATATGAGATCTGGTATTAATTCAATAGACTTTTCAGGCCATCTGACTCTGAGGAACAGCCTCATCAAATTCTTACATGTCAATCAAATGTTTTTTGTTTTTTTTTTGCTATTCCAGGGCAGCATTCTCATGTCTTACAGAAAAGTCTTTGTCTTTCAGTTCTATATTTCTTTTTGCAAACTCTTAAATTCCTGTTATGCTTGCACCTACAGATTTTATGTTTGCATCTTCTAATAATATTCTTGAACCTATTGCTGTAAACTTTAGAAAATTCAATTCGTGTTCTTCAATAGCCTCGTGAGATTGGGGCTTTCATAGGAATGTCATGCATGGCACCAAATATCTGGACTCTCAGCTTTCTACAACAGCTGCCTAATATCAATGGGGAAAAGAGCTTTGAGCGAGTGAAAACTGAAGGGTTCACAAAGATTTGTATCAAACAATAGAAAGCAACAACGAAAATAGAGCACATTTTTTTTTAAGTATTACGCCCCCGAGCAAGGCGTGAATCCACTAGGATGCAGGGGGTTGCAGAAGATTTAGAGCAAGGTCAGATAGGAGTAATAGAAGAAAGGATGAGGAGAAGGATAGTGGGTAGATCAAGGTAACTGGAGGTGTCGATTGACATTACATTTGAATAGTTGGAGATTATAGCTCTCAGGGAAACAGTAATAGGGAAGGGTGTTCCACATGCGAGATGTGCGACGTATGAAGCTATTGGAGTAGAAGAGACGGCTATATTTAAAAGTTTCTACAGTGAAAGGGTGAGAGCGGGATGCCAGCCTCGTAGAGCGCTTGAATTCATGTCTGGGAACCAGTGAAAGCAGCTCATCGGAGCAATTACCATGAAAGTATTTGTAAAAAAGACAGAGAGAGGCGTCGTATATGTAGAAGTGAAAATAATGATATAATCAAAATGGTAATAATTCCACACCACTTCAAACATAAAGTTAGAAAGGAAACCCCCATCAATAGTAGAAAGAACGATAACAGCTACTGGACGCGAGAAACAAGTTTTCCTGAAAAGTTATTTTAAGAGAAAGATTTTATAAATTTAAAAAAAAAGTGGTACTAGGTGCGTGGACAATGAATACCGAATATTTTCTTGTAGGGAAAAGACTAATATTAGCATTACCATTACCATTGGGCTTTGTATTGTTTAGGTTTCACTATTGCAACTCAATATCTATAATAATAAAATGCAGCCTTATACGCAAGCAATCCAATCTGCCACTGGGTGGCATGCCACTAGCGTTTACCGTTGGTGGCCCGCTATCGGACCTCAGGCGTGTTCATCTCGGTAATGTTACCACTGGGGGACTGCTTGAGGCCCACCGTGTCCGTCGGTGGCTGCCACCAGAAGACCGCTGGCGTTGCCATCGGCAACCCGCCAGTCGGCCACTAGCGGCTTGCGTTTAGTGAATGTACGTTTGTCCGTCCGATCGTTTTTCGATCTCGGTGAATCATAAACAACCTGTAGTTACCGGTAATTAAAACTTAATTAAATAACTAAATTAAAGTTAAATTCAAATATCGAACAGAGTGAAAGGTTTTTCGATGCCATTTCAATTGATAACGTCTAACTTAACCGTAATTAAAACTCAAGAGGGGAACGGGACGCTACTCATGTCTTGTCTGTTTTCTTTTTCTAGCATGCGTACTGTGGCATATTCGAAATATTACATAATTCGGGTTCCCTAATGTCTTTTAAGAGTGACTTTATGTTAAGGGACCACAAAGAATGGTGGTTTTAAAAGAAAATAAAAAATTGCCCGCAAAATAAATGTAAACAAACTATGCAGATCTGCTGCGTATACGAAGAAAGGTGTCGAATAAAGAAAAAATAATTTTATTATTTTTAAATTCTTATAACTTTTACTTACATAAGACGCTGAAGGTAAAAGGCCGAAGACCCAAAACCCCTCTTCAGGAGCTAATTTAAAGTCAGGGTGAAGGGCGGTTTGTAGTTATTAATAAAATCATTTTCCTTGATTTTTTAAGCAAGAAAAGTGAAGAGTTTCGAATGCTTATTTTGTATTCAAGCTGGAAATTTTTTTTTATTTAAGCATTTCACCACAAGCCAGGTAGGAGTACCAATAGCACGCAAGGGATTATAGAGCGTAGGAGCAATATTAAATAGGGGGGTGTTTGAGGAAAGGATACAGAGGAGGACGGGGATCAGGATCAAGGCATCAGAAGATGTCGATTGACATTTCATTTGAATATTTGAAGATTATCGCTATCAGGGAAGCAACTAAGAGAAAGGGTATTTCACTGTCGGGAAGTGCAAGAGAAGAAGCTGTTGGAGTAGAAGAGGCAGTTAGATTTAACTGTTTCGACATTGAAAGGGTGGGACCTAGATGCCAACCTAGTAGCACGCTTAAATTCATGCAGTTGGGGTACCAATGAAAGTAGCTCGTCAGAGCAGTTGCCATGAAAATATTTGTCGAAAAGACAGAGGCAAGCCACAGCGCATTTGTGAGAAAGTGACTAATGACGAGATGCCAGATCAGGACCTATCACATTGCATATCCATCTCTGGATTTTTTCGAGTACCTCGAGATGAACAGCGTGTGGCACCAGACCATATATGTCAACAGAATTCCATGCATGGATGAATGGTATATTTGTATATTTGAAGAATGGACTTAGGCGAGGAAAAAAGAAATATCATTTTTCGGTAAACAGTTCTCAAAGTGGTTTCACACAAGAGCAGGAAAGATAAGAGACTTTTCCAGCATTTAATGTGTAAAAAAACACAACATTTAAAATTAAAGATAAAAAATAGGAAACGTTTGAAATTAAAGATAAAAGAAAAAAATAAGAAACGTTTTAAATTGGGAAACGTTTTTAAGGATAAAGAAAAATAGGAAAAGTTTATCAATTTAATTAATTTCACTTTTATTAAAACATCAGCAGAGAATGCGATATGGAGAAAAAAGAAGAAAAAACATTCTGGTATTTTTAATTTTGTGTTTCATATTTATAATTTTCAATAATTAGACAAACTGGAATTATTATACGCTTTTATATATAAAGCAATGGGCGCGTGGCCGATTGGTTAGAACGTTCGCTTTCTGACCATAAAACCCGGGTTCGAATGTCACCACGATTGGTTTGTTAGGAAGGAAACTTCCTCACGTTATCGTTCTGAAGGGGGACGATCCTAGCATATGGCAACTTTGAAAAGTGCCTGAAAACCGAATCTTGTAAATGAAATTAGGTAGACTGATCAATTGGGAGCTAGCGCGAATTTGCAAGTCATCATGACCGAGGGTTTTAGCGTGTTTATCATGCTAGATAACACGCTCTCTTCCATAAACTGTAACTAAGGTCTGCTCTGTGGGTGTTGGACAAACACAAATTTGCCTAAGCGAGAGTCTACTAGGTCGCCTAGGGATTGGTTAGACGCCCTAGTAGACGGGTATTCTAGAATACGAGTGCCTATTATTAGTAAAGGTTTTTCTGTTAGGCTTGAAACTTCGATGGGGCGTGGCGTCTCTCCTTGAAATCAAAACGCC